TGTAAATCGAAGGAGTAAACAATTATCAATGCAATTTATATGCTTTTTGCAGATATGGTGCACTTCAGCAAATAATCTAACCACCAATACTTAGCATACACGTTAGCCTTTTAAAACTCCATCCCCACACATACCCACAAGCTCACGTGTGTTCCTTCCCATTTTGTTTCCTTGGTGGTTTGTTCCAAACTTTATGGTTGGAGGAGGAGGATTTTTAACACTAGGCTAGCTATCTCTTGTCCTAAAGGCACAATATTGTTTTTCAACTTACCTAAAGAAGGAATGATTCAAAAAGGCACATCAATCATTCTATCAGGTACCTGCTACTGCCTACCAGCACGAGTACCAGATAACTCTCCCCACAACAGCTTACACAAATGAGAACAAATCACCTAACATTATTTGTCTCTACTAAGATTTCAACTAAGGGCTCCAAGATTTTCACCCCTTTATTAAACCAGGGCAATAGGTTTCAACTCTTTGACACTTAAAACTTTCTAATGCTCTCAAGCAAATTTAATCTCTCCTATGAAAGAAATGTCATAGTCATTGCAACAGATTCTATCAACAATTCATGAGATATCCATCAATTAATTATGTATCAACTCCTAACTAGTTGAGCTCAACTATACAAATCTCCTATATCCTTCCATTCTATTCAAACTCATTTCATATCTAATGTACACGCAAACTGGCTCGTACACCACAATTATAAAAATAAAAACTACCAACACAACTTTAAAAATTAAAAATTAAAAATAATAAATAAATAAAATAACCTTCTGGAGTAAAAAACATGATTGTCATCTGGAACAAAAATATCAGCACCGAGAATATTTCCTTCCCTTGATGCTATGCAATCCGATAGTTTTGCAAGGATTCCAACCACATCCTATTCATAATTTAGTCGCATTTCATTTTCCATAAACGAGATTAAAAACTGATAACTCGATCTCAATAATCTCATTCAAATGTACAAAAAATTGACTTACTGGGCAATGAAATTGATGAATGCCATGAACCAAGGAGCTTGAGGTGGGTTGAGAAATGGACCCATAATGATTTTGTGTAATTTTGAAGGACCTATTCGCAAATTGAGAAACTTGAAAACGAGAGCTTGGGGAAATTACTCTACGGAGGAAGTTCATCTTCCTCTCCCCCAACTCCTTTCGGTGTTTTTCCTCCTTTTTGTTTTTGGTTTGCCAACCAAATCTCTGTGCCTTCAAAACTAAAAATAGTATATATATATTCCGCAAATTATCACTTTCTGTTTTGGCATAAAGGTGAGGTGAGTTTAAAAATAAATAATCCCAAATTATTAACCGTTTTAAAAATACTCATTAGCTTGGTTAACTCAAATAAAATACACTCCTCATCTTGTAACATAAATGAAATACACCCCTAAATTCTCACCAAATTTAAGAGTGTTTTCAACGCTTCTCTCCACTTTTTTATCAAGAATCTCATGCTCCTACCAGAGTTAGAAACCACTTGTTATATCATGTGGTAGATCAAAGGGTATCTAAATTTAGTTAGTCATTTTGATGAGTGTTTTTAAAACGGTGAAACTAATAATTTGTGTCAAGTTCAAGGGGTTTTCAATTTTCTCTCAACTTTTAACCCATGCTTGTTGTATAAGAAATTACCTCATAATTTATACTTACATTAGTTATACGGATTTCTAAATTGTAATTTAAATATTATTTAATTTTATACATAAATAACTTAGAAGAGTTCGATTTTCTATATTAAAAATTAAATATTATTTAATTTTATACATTAGGAATAATTTACTTCCTAACTAACTACTAAATGTCGTATAACTTATGCAAAAAATAATTTATGAATAAATTGTCTTTTTATATTAAGTGAGTGGAGAATGGAGATCCTCCTTTCCCTCCGCTGATTATCAAAAACTTTATTGCCATTTGCAACTAGTAAATTAAACTAGCAGGATAGGTTAGTCCTCCAACCACAAAGTCCAAATAACTTTAGTGCCTTTGTTAATGGAAGATCACTTCTGTGTAATCAAATGTGTTTATTTGTTGGGACAGTCTAGAAAATGCCAAATAAATAAGTAAAGATCTCCACATTATCAGTTATCACATAACCAAAACTTCTTGGATTTTGCATACTTGTATATAGTGGATAACAAGTTCAAGTTTCCAGCAGCCCTGCTAGCAACTCTTTGCCTATCTAGTTGCTCCATCAGGAAGTTCAGACTCATGTAAAGGCTAAAAAAGGCGCTAAACCTTCCGTTCATGTAAATATATACTCATAATAAGCAAGGAATGAACAACAGACATGTTGTATCCATCACCACTCTCTTTTTCAAGCTTACCTTTCTGGAAAAAATGAGCAACAAATGCCTATTAAGTAAAGGCATGACACAAGCACTGAAGCACATCGACATTCTAGCAGTAAGCTTCAACAGATTAAGCCATGAGAAATTAGCTTGGTTTCAACTTTCATAGTCACTTCATTGAAGATTCAACACATCACAAAGAACTCGTTTCTTTCAAGGAATACACTACATTGTCCCTCGAATTGAAGATTCTTGAGTTCTTTTGTACCATCGGGTGGAGAAACTGATATATCCACACCAATGTGCTTCGTTGTCTTTGCAAGATCTGAAGGTGGTATCCGCCTATGCCCCTGATGTTGGTTGGTTCATGTCCTCACCTAATAAATATTGATTTCACAAAGATAGAAGTTCTGTACTGAAAATTCCGCCAAGAAAGCTTAAAAGTTACTACTACAACCAATCAGCAGGCAGAAGTGTCCCTGAACAACATAATCGAATACTAGGGAAGATTCTTTATCATTTTCAAAAGAAGCATGTAGAGGTGCTGCATTTCTTGTATCTCTCAAGAAATAGTAATTTGATTACCAAAGAGCAAATTTAAGCAACTAACATAATGAACTAGTTATAAAGGTTATGACCTTCTTTCTTAAAGATACTACCTACAGTTTTACCAGTTCAAAATACAACTTTTTGTTCACCAAGCACAATTTCGATAACACTTGTTCCTAGCAACTATATCTATAACAATTACTCAAATGTTTAGGTAAACCATAAATTTTGGGGAAACTGAACCCAATTACAATATCATCACAATCACATTGGGAAATGAGGAGCCGGTAAGCACAGCGAACAATCCGTCTTGAAATCAAAATATATACTATTACATGAGGAACGAGGAAAAAATCAGCAAAAGTAGTAAATTTAGCTACGAGACAAATGCTGTAAATCCTATTTGTTAGAAATCAACAGAATCACAAGAGGACACACACCTACCAATAAAGCTAAGTGAATAAGCAATCAAGTATATACCATAAATCTCATTAGTTAATAATGCATTGCCCAGGACACAGATCACAGTGCCTAATGAAGTCTACTGTTCAAAAAGAAGAATCAAGATACTACAGATGCTAAGTTATGAAAAAGAGACGGCATGGAAAAATTAACTGCAATTTGTCAGTACCACATCGATTCTAACAAGATATTCTTGCTTATCTAGTTAGTAGTTGCTCCATTAGTGAGTTCAAAGTCATGCATGGACTAAAAGAGGCACTAAATGTAAATATGTAATACACAAGACATGAACAATAGACATGTCCTATCCACTCCTCGCCTTTTCAAGCCAAATATGTTTACCTTTTTGACAAAGATGAACAAATTATTATCTATCAACAAGTTACAACATGACACCAGCACAGAAGCACATCTACACTATAGCAGTTAGCTTCATCAGATTAAGCCTGGAGAAAGTAATTGGTTTCATGCGCACAATCTTGAGTTCTTTTGATACCATAGGGCGTAGAAACTGACTTGCCCACCACCATGTGCTTAGTTGTAATCGCAGGATCTGAGGTGGTTGGCTAAGTCACAATGTTGGCGGGCTCATATAGGGGCATAATAAATAGTGATTTCTCTAGAGAAGATGTTCAATACCTACAAAAACTCCTGAGGAATTGCTAGTACAACCAATCAGAAGGAGACGTTCCCCAGGAACATAATCACTTGGGAACAAACTGTAAAAATCCATCTCTTGTATTGAAGATAGCAATTTAAGCAACAAAGTAATGAACTATTTTGTTTGTTTTTCTATTAAGGAAAGTAATGAACTAGTTATCAGAATTATGAACTTCTATCCTAAGGAAACTACAGTTCAATAAAAGTTTTACCAGCTCATTTAAGAAACTACAACATTTCATTAACAGTAACATGACTAGTGAAACACCAAGTACAATGTCAACCATACTTCTTCCTAGCAATTGTACCCAAAAGACTTGGTAATCTATTATTGTGATTACTCAAGGTTGGTGGTAAAAGAAAAAGTTCTGTGGAAAGTAAACCCAATTGCAGTATCATCCTCACGTGGGAGATGAGGAAGGATAGGAACCTATCAACACAGCTAATAACCCTTCTTGAAGCTAAAAAAACATCACAATAACACGATGAACGACGAAAATATTAGCAAAGCTAAGTAAATTGGCTATGAGACCTATGCTGTAAATCCAATTCATAGAAATCGTCAGAATCACAAGATCCACGAACCACTTATCAGTAAAGCGAAGTGAATTAGAAATCGAGTCTACACCATAAGTCCCATTAGTTAGAAACGCATTTCCCAAGATGCAGATCACGCTGCCAAATGAAGTCTTCTGCTCAAAAAGAACAATCAAGAAAACACAGATGCTAAATATTGAAAAAGAGACAAGACATGAAAATATTTACTGCAATTTGTCAGTACCACATCAATTCTAATTAATCCACATCCCACAACTTGGGCATGTCTGCATCCTCTTGATCATACAGCCACATCAAGAAAAACAATAATTCTCATGAAATATATCAGTGCAAGCTTATACCGTACTATTTGATCAACAAATATACTTCTACATAAGCACAACAAGAGTCAACAGATTGCTGACAACATAGCTTGCATTCTAGGCAAGGAAATTCAAGAAAAAAAATCAACCATATATGAAATAATAATAATAATAATAATACAGCGGTAGTGGGTTTTCTTTCTATTCAACTTGTGATTACCAAGCTAAACTATATCCTTGAAAGGAGAGCACGGTCTAATCTCTGGGAATCAAAAATCCTAAAGTTTAGTAAAAATTAACAATATAGTTCAAGAGATCTCAATCCAAATAAGAAAGTTAATGCATTTACAACAATTGCTGAGTTGCCACCTCTGCTCTTCTCCTTGTTTCTCTTTTCCAAAAGCTCATTCTGAGTATGCCTCCATAATCTATATAAGAACCTTATTCCTGAAAATAAAAACCATAATTTCATCTAAGCATCAGCCAATTGAAACACCATATAATCCAAACAAACATCATTAAAGAACAAATATTTCCCTCACATTGATTAAACCAATCGTTTCAATCAATTAACTCTACGTCAATTGCAAACTAATCAGGTAGATCATATAAATTCTCTAAACTCAGGTCCATCTAACTTTCAGATTATAGACTGTCTTCTTCTCCTTTTTTTATGATGTGGTGTCTGGGCCAGCTTTAGCTAGCCTTGACTAGTCCTGCCACCTCCCACCAGCAACACTAACGCTAGTACAGATGGGAAGAATTGCCTTGAGCTTTTGTCTCTAACCTGAGATCTCATGATTCTCAACCACTTCATTGACCACACCTTGGGCACTTCTCTAAATCATGGAGAATTTTAAGTGCACACACCATATAATGTGATTCATCTATATACAAGTTCCATTTATGTGCTTAATTAAAAACACTAAAAACAATGAGAAACTAGAAACTCAGATTAAAAACAACAACAACTACGCCTCAGTCCCAAACAAGTCGGAATGAATCCTCACTTCTCCTCCAATTAAACTCAACTCGTGATGATTATCAGAAATAAATAATTAATAAATCACTGTAAAGGAAAAGAGAAAGGCAGATACCTACGTCTGTTTAGAGTAAGAAGAAGAGGAAGGAACACGCTTGTTCCTAAACATCATATAAGCAAGAGGCAATACAACACCGATCATCATTACAGCTGCTCCCATCATGTACCTCATTGGGCTCGGCGCTGCCACTTCTATCACTGTCATCTGCACAAAATTCAATCACAGAAACAATCAATCATCAACACATTTCAAAATCATAGCTTCAAATTGTTCCATACATTTACTAATCGGATCAAAACACAGAATTGAGAAAGCAGAATCGGAAAAAATGTACTTACGGGCATTGTTGATTGGGGTTTATGCAGCAAAAATACGATCAGATCGAACTTCTGTAGAGGTTCTAGACTACTGAAGATTTGATCTGGAGAAAATTTTGCCCTTTTATCTCTTTTTGCGTTAATTACACTTCTTGCCCCTATGTTTTGTCATAATGAGAGTTTTAAACCTATATGATTTTCAAGTATCAAGTTGGTCTCCTAACTTTTAAAATTTTTAAGATCCATCCAGATTTTAAATGATAATTTGAATTGTATTTTTCAGATAGACATCGATATTATTTAGTTATAAATTTAAAAATAAGGTATTAAAAGTTGACGTTGAGAGCACAATATTTGGAAATTTGAGAGTGATATGAAAGTTCAATTTTTATTTTATTTTGATTTTTGTTTTTTCACTTGGTGTTTACTATCAGCATTGAAGTTTAATTAATTTGAATTTGTGTCGCGTAGGGTCTCATTCTGGGAAAGCACTCTATATCAATGATTTTTCATACATAGAGGCTAGAGTTTGAACCCCAGATCTAATTATGGAAGAAATAACTCTCTCCATTACACCTAAGGTTGTTCAAAATGAATTGAACTCAATAATTTGAACCAAAACAAGTTTTTGTATTATTGATAATGGTTATTGATTTAGCAATTTCGGTAAACAGTTTTAATTTATTTATATTGAGTTATCGATTTCTCATGGTTTGAGGTTTTTTTTTAATAGATTAATCGATAGTAAATTAAAAAACTATATTTATATCATTCGGTATATAAAGTCAGGATTTAGTTTTATAATTTCATTTCTAATTGTCTCAAACTTTCGGTTATTCTACAAGGCGTTAGTGTATGCTTTTGAGAAAGATGCAATCTTCAACATGTGCATGATTCATTTGGTTTATCATCTTGTTTTTAAGTGATCTTTAATAATTCTTTTGTAGGTGAAATCTTAACGATTAAATCGATAACTGAACTGATAACGTCAATAAATCAATAATCAATAAACTGATATCTTAATAACTCTATATTGGTTTAGTATAATAAAAACCGACAACCAATAAGCGAATGGGTCGATACACAACCTAACTGCACCACATCCATTGGCGGTGAAAGTTCCAAAAAGACTACGTTTGTTAGGGGTATACTTCTCTTTTTCACCCCCAATTCATTTTCTTTTCATTTTCATCCCAATATTTTATTTCCCTCTTAAAGCAGAATTTGAAATCCTTCAGTTCTGCAACAAACTATCAAGCTCTCTTCTTCCCTTCCTCCCACCTCCAATTCGCCCGTAGCACAGAAATGGAAGTACCAGAAGGGACACTGCTACACTTAATTATGGAGAAAGGTCCTCTTTCGGGTCAAAATCTGGTGTATAAACCCGGTTCAAAGATCCAGATTGGTCGGGGTGTCCGTGGCAACACACTTCCTATCAAAGACGAAGGCATCTCTTCTAAACACCTCCGTATTCAGTTTGAATCCGGGTTCTGGGTTATCAATGACCTCGGATCATCTAACGGTACGTTTCTCAACACTATTGCAATTGACCCATCTCGACCCACTAAACTTACCGACGGCGATATTATAAAAATTGGCGAAGAAACGTCCATTAAGGTCAAAATTGAAGCAATGGAAGTTCATCCGGTGGATGAAATCGAGGCTAAGGGTAAAAATACCCGACGGAACACGAGGCGTGTTAAGGGATTGGGGGTGATTGATGAAAATCGCGAATTAGGGCTTGGAAATGGGGGAATAGGAAATGTGGGTGTGGGTTCCAAAAGAGCGACGAGGAGTTCTAAGAATGTGAAAAATGAAGCTGGAAATGTAGAGGAAGTTGAGAACTTTACTGCAATTGAAGCTGAGAACGAGAGGAAAGGGAAACCGAGGAGGACTCGGGGTTCTAGGAAAGTGGAGAGTGTGAAAACTGGGGTTGATAGTGTGAAGGAAGCTGAGAATATTGATTTAGTTGATGTTGAAAGGGAGACTAAATGGTGTGCGGGGAGGCCTAGGGGTTCTAAGAAAGCTGACAGTGTTAAAGACGGGGATGATGCTGTGGAGGAAACTGAAAGTCTTGCTGTAGTTGAAGCAGAGCTACAGAGGAAACCTAGTCCGAGGAGGACTAGGGGTTATAGGAAAATGGGGAATGATGCTGAGGAAACTGACAGTCTTGCTATAGCTGGTGGAGATAGAGAGAGGAAACCGAGTCCTAGGAGGACTAGGGGTTCTAAGAAAGCACAGAATGTTAAATGGATGGATAGTGTGGAGGAAGCTACGAATTCTGTAGCAATTGATGTAGATAAAGAGAAGAAAGTGTGTTCAAGGAGGACTAGGGGTTCAAGGAAGGAGGAAGACGTGGAAAATCTCCATCAAAAAGCAAATGTAGACATGGAATTGAAGCAACTTGGGAAGGGGAAGGGAAGCACTGCAAGAATAGTGCACTCGGAGGAAGATGAGGTGATGGAGAAGTTGGAAAGAGACCAAAAAGATTGTGAAGAAGCTGTTGAGAGCAATGCCAATGTGGGAGTAGAAAGAAATATGCCCGAGGTGGTTGAAGCAGAACTTCGAAGGGATGGTTGCGAGGGGTTAGGTAGTAATGTTGCCGCAAACATGAGTGAAGTCCAAATGGAGGAGGAGGTGGATTTAGAGAAAATGACACTTGGAGAGTGGTTGGATTATTTGGAGATTTATTTGCCAAAACAAATAATTGATGCGACTAAGGAGATGATTTTAGGTATGAAACAGAAAACAGAGAAATATCAGGAGTTCATGTTGCAGCAGAAGAATGCAAAGGATTGTAATGGAATATCGAAGGGTTAGACTGACTCAGTATGAGGTTACATTCTTAGGTAGTTTTCTTTTGCATTGCTTTTTGTATCAGGGTTACTCATTTTTTAGACATACTTGAGCTTCTTATTTGAATAAATGCTACTCTATTGTATCTGTGTACAGTGGGCCCTTGTTTACATACGACAACTGAAAGATTCTCATTTAGTTGAAATAATCTAAGATGTTGATAACAGAACACTTATTCTGTAATGTTAGATTGTCAGTGATGAATCTGATTCATATATATGCCCAATGTCCAGAGATTTAGTCCGATGCTCAATGACTTCTCAAGTCTAAAGCAAGGATACTTATCACTGGAGTTATATTAATACAGTTTGGTAGACCACAAAAGTTCAAAACAATGTCTTGTGGGGAACCAAAAGTGGGATACTGACCTGTTATTTCCAATTCTAATATAATACAGAATAGACAGGCATTAGCATTTGCAGTTAGTAACTGCATATTAGTTGTAACATTCAGACTAGATGGTGGAAGTGGAAGTGTGGAACATGTTTTACTACTATACAATAAGCTTAAGTATATTATATGGTCAAGACTTTAGCAGAAATTTCTAGATAAGAGCTTTAGAAGGATACATTGAGATTGTTGTTTGCTGCATTTATGTATGCCTGTCATTTAGTTTATGTACCAGCCATTTATCATATAGTTTGTTCTCTGGAACTGTAGGCTTTTATTGCTATGTCAAGAAAAATTGGGTTGTTGACTCAAACAACTGATAAAGGGGGCATCCTCTGAAGATAAAATTCCCTAGTTATGGGTTGTTGCATTAGCACCTGCAGTAACTGCATAAGTATTAGTTTTTACTTTCAGGACTAGATTGCGGAATAGGTTTTACTTCCATACTGTAAGCTTAAGTAAAATATTATATGGTCAAGAATTATGGCGGGGAGTTTCTAATGATAGGCTGTAGAAGGATACATCAATCAAGATTGGTAAGATCGCGCAAGCTGGCTGGACACCACCATTAGTCAAAAAATGAAAAAAGAAAAGATACATCAGGTTTTCTGTTTGCTACATCTTTTAATGCATGAAAGATACCGTGACAGATTATTTTACATGGAGGGTTGCCCCATTAGCTCTTATGGTGGGTTGTATGGAAAGAGAGAAATAGGAGAGCTTTTGAAGGAATCGAAAATGAGTTTGCACATTTAAGAAATAACCTTTTTTCTTTGATTGCTTTTTGGTAAATTCCTTCATGTATAGATTGGATGTCTTTTGTAGAGAATGAGTGAGAATCATGATTTGATGTAGATTCTCTACTTTTTGGTTTACCTCTTGTATATGGCTATACGGGAGATTTCATTCCCATTGTTAATAATATCATTTACCGAATAAAAAATGGATTATCTTATTAGCTACCACTAGTTAATATCTCTGTTTCTCCTTCTTTCTCTACTTCTCTTACATGCATTCCAGATTAGTATTACATGTTGTGAAGTTCTATTTTCTAGTACCCATACCATTTATATATCAGTTTGTTCCCTGAAACTGTAGGTTTTCTTTGCTATTTCCAGAAAAGAGGTCGTGTTGACACAAACAACTGAGATTGGTGGCATCCTCTGAGGATAAAGTACCCTTTTTAGACTAAGTATCTGAGATTCAGACTACAGTAGGCATCTGTTAACATATTCAGTTGGGGTTCGAGCTTCTTTTTGCTTTTTGTCTGGCTATTGATCCTTGTGGAAGTAGCATTCGCTGTTCGTACAGTTCTGTGGTTTATTAAAGAAAAAGTGCCACTATTAATTCTACAGGATAATATTCGCTCTAAATTAGGATGTTCCACATAATTATGATCAAGTGAAATCACTTTCCTCAATGAACGGATGTCATGCAGAAGAGGATCTCTTTAGGACAAAAAGTTTCCATTGGACGGAGCCTGAGATTCAACAACGTAAAGGTTAGAAGCTGATTTAACAGATGATATTCAATATCAAAGAGAAATTGGCAGCCGTGAGGAGCAAGCTCGTTATGCCTAAAGAATGAAGTTTGTCCTACAAAGTGAAGGGAGCAGAATGTTATATTTGTGCATGCTCTGGCAGATGAAAGTACACCTAGGCTAAGGCTTCTGATACTAATATTAGTTAGGCTGACCTTGATTTTAGTCTTTGTTGCATATTTCTCAACTTCGACATTGAGCTGCAGTTTGTAACATAACTATTAATGCTTGAGTGTTTTTAGTTGGGCATACCACTCGTTCTAAGAAGATTTATCTTCAGTGTTGATAATGCAGTTTCGAGTTTTATCAGCTTTCTTAAATAATTTCTACTGCTTTAGTTGGGCACAACTTTGCGCACACTTGTAAGATTAACCATATACATGTGAAT